GAAAGACTAAACACTACAATTTAAAAACACTTTCCTTAGATAAATACAAACTTGAAACAACATTGTGTACCTTAAAAAAGTGAGCCGGCACATCCAACAGAGAATCATATTCTATGACATGTTCTATGGATGCCATGAAGAATCTGGGAAAAGATCAAGTCACTCTTAGACAAGATGGCATGACAGAAAGAAAACAGAGAAAGAAAAAGATTAAGTCACTTATCAGGAAAATCAGATTGTCATCAGACTTACCTACAACAATACTTCATGCCAGAAGACAAGGGACTGTATGGTCACATTATTAAAGGGGTAAAGTATGATCCAAGAAAGATATGTCTCCAGCCAAACTGATGTTCAAGTATAAGAGCCATAAACAATTATCAACATGCAAAAACTCCAAGAATATTATTCCTGGGAGCACCTCCTGAGGACCCTATCAGAAAACTAGCATCAGGCACCCAAAGTGACTAGAGAAACATAAACATAAGGGCCGGTGGTGAGTATTCAACATATACAGCATATACTTACTTATACAATTAGGAGCAAACAATGGTGGTAAGGAAAAAAGTACAGCTGTTACAGTATGATTATGAGATATTTGAGTGAAAATGGGAAGAGCATATGAAAAGTAGAATAAGCTTGTTGACTGCCTTATAGTTAATAACTAGAAGTAAAAGGATATTAATTCAAATCAGGTGCTGTGGGAGAGAAAGGAAAGGGAAGAGGACACTAGCAAATTTCAATATTATTCTTAATAGGAAACCAACAGACAAAAAAAAGGGGCCTGAAAGCATTATGCACAGATATTAGTATAAAGGTAATCATTTCCGCAAAAATATGACCCTTCCTAAGTACCAAAAAAAAACCAATAAGAGATAGATAAAAATAAAAGCCACACTGAAAAACAATTTGTTGAAAAGACTTACATCAGTATAAATGTAACATAAAACAATATGACAGAACTGAGGTTAAACATACTGATTATATGGTCTTAATTCACCTATTAGGAGGAAATCAGATTTCTATATTGGCCAACAAAACAAAATTCAAACCTGTGCTTTAAAATTTCTCTGGAGGCTGAGATAGACCCTCACACCTGTAATCCCAACACTTTGGGGGACCAAGACAGGAGGATTGATTGAACTCAGGAGTTTGAGACCAGCCTGGGCAACATAGGAAAACCCTATCTCAAAAAAAAAAAAAAAAAAAAAATTAGCTCAGTTCAATGGTGCACACCTGTGGTCCCAGCTACTCAGAAGGCACAGGAGGGATTGCTTGAATCCAGGCAGTTGAGGCTGCAGTAAGCTATGATCACACCACTATACTCCAGCCTGGGTGACAGAGCAAGACCTTGTCTCAAATAAAAAATAAGTAAAATAAGATAAAATAAAATCTCTCTGGAGTGATGGCCAGAACATATTGTCTAGTGAAAAGTGTGACGTAGGGAAGTAACTCTAATATGCTACCATTTATCTAATACAGAGGCAGGATACACACTTACATGAACCATCTTATACTGAAAATGGAAAAGGAAGGGTGTTCTGATCACCTGAAGCAGCATAACAAACTACCTTTTTGGTAGGTCTGAACAATCATTTTATTACGTAAATGATTATTTGGATCTGGAATTCAGGCAGGGCTGGCTGGGTGGTTTTTCTTTCCCGCGCGGCGTCGATAGAGATCACTCATTGACATCCAGTTGGAGAATGGGCTGATCTGGAGGCTCCATGACGGCTTCACTCACACAGCAGTGTTTGGTAGGACCTCTGAAAGGCTGGGCTCAGCAGGTGGACCCAGTGCCTACGCGTGGCCTCTCCAAAAAGGGGTCTTGGAGTGACTGGACCTCACGCAGTGGCTCAGGCGGCTCCAAGCATGAATGCCCCAGGTAAGCTGGGTGGAGGCACTAAAACATTTACAACCCACCTCAGAAGTCTCTGAGTATCACTTCTGCCACACTGTTAGCTAAAGCAGTCACAAGTCCTTCAGATACAAGCAGAGGGACGTGGAACACATCTCTTTTTTTTTTCTTTTTTTTTTGAGACGGAGTCTGGCTCTGTTGCCCAGGCTGGAGTGCAGTGGCCGGATCTCAGCTCACTGCAAGCTCCGCCTCCCGGGTTCCCGCCATTCTCCTGCCTCAGCCTCCCGAGTAGCTGGGACTACCGGCACCCGCCACCTCGCCCGGCTAGTTTTTTGTATTTTTTTTTTTTAGTAAAGACGGGGTTTCACCGTGTTAGCCAGGATAGTCTCGATCTCCTGACCTCGTGATCCACCCGTCTAGGCCTCTCAAAGTGCTGGGATTACAGGCTTGAGCCACCGCGCCCGGCTGGAACACATCTCTTAACGGGATGAATATCCAAGGATTTGTGGCCATGTTTTACAAATGCCATGAAGGATAAACTGTATATTGTGTATAATGCTTACATATGGGGAAGAGTGGAGACAGGGTGGGACAGACAGGGATAGAAGTTAGGCTTCTCTGAATATAATTCATTCCGTAGATTTGATTTTAGAAACACGTAAGTATGTTATATAATTATAAAACTTTTACAAATTCCCTAAACATTGAAAGCAAAAGGAAACAAATGAACCTCTGTATACATGTTTTTTGTTCTGTTTCTTTGTTCGTTTGTTTTCAGATGGAGTCTTGCTCTCTCACCCAGGCTGGCGTGCAGCAGCACCATCTTGGCTCACTGCAACCTCCACCTCCTGGGTTCAAGCAATCCTTCTGCTTGTCTCCCGAGTAGCTGGGACTACAGGTGCGAGCCACCACACCGGGCTAATTTTTGTATTTTTGGGAGAGACGGGGTGTCACCATATTGGCCAAGCTGGTCTCGAACTCTTGACCTCGTGATCCATCTGCCTTGGTCTCCCAAAGTGCTGGGATTACAGGCATGAGCCACTGTGCCCAGCCTGTGTATACATGTTTTACTACCACATTGAGAAGAAGTATTCCAAGGAACTTCAAAATACCATAAATTGACTATACATTTCTAGTGCAATATGCCCTGAAAACAAAAAGAAAAAATCATTTTAAACTGTTTCAATCATTGCATTATGCTGATGATGGTGCTGGTATTATTCTGATATCATTGTGTGTGTATAGTGGCTTCATGCAAATGGTTTTCTTACTCTATTAATGTGTGTCATTGAGAACCAGATTCTTTCCTAGAGAAAATGAATATAAATAAATGATAGAAGTTAAGTGAAAGCCCTGAGGGCCTACATTTGAATTATGAATCATTATGAATTAATGGTGTAGAAATACTGACCACAGGCTGGGCACAGTGGCTTAAGCCTATAATCCCAACACTTTGAGAGGCCGAGGTGGGCAGATCACATGAGGTCAGGAATTCAAGACCAGCCAGGCCAACATGGTAAAACTCCGTCTCTACTAACAAAACAAAAATTAGCCAGGTGTAGTAGCACACACCCGTAATCCCAGCTACTCAGGAGGTTGAGGCAAGAGAATCATTGGAACCCAGGAGGCGGAGGTCGCGGTAAGTGGAGATAGCGCCACTGCACTCCAGCCTGGACAACAGTGGGAGACTGTCTCAAAAAAAGAAGAGGAAGAGGAAGAAGAGGAAGAAGAGGAAGAGGAGGAGGAGGAGGAAGTATTGACCAGGGCAGCACTGTGCACTCCTGGTACCCAAGTTGTGGGGTTTTAAAATTTTATTTTCCTTTTTTTATGTTTTGTTTTACATGCTATTTTGACAAAGGTTGTGGTTTCTAAACACCATTTCTCACTAAAAGGAACTAGGGCTCCTAGGAGAAATGGCTGACTCCAGGTCTAGAGCAGTGAATGCACACAATAGACTTGCAGCTTCCTGCTAAACCAGAGAGCAAGTACATTCTCAAAGACCACTGGGGTCATGTCCAAAGTACTCAAGAGCCAGCTTGAAAGATGGGACAATCTGAACTTCAATAAGGGCAATTAATGCAATCAATTAAAACACATAAAATGTCTTTGAACTCACCAGTTTGTACTTATTTTTTTATCCCTACTTGATCACCACTGGAAGAACAATTTAATTTAGAAAACTGTTAGAGGAACCAGATCAAGCATATATCAGTTTGTAAACTGTACCACCAGGTAGCCAAATAGCAGAAGTTTGGTAGATGGGAAGTTTCTCTCTATAGAAACATTTCAGCAAATATATGAAGGAATGATAGACTATCACCATTACGCAACCACTAATTAGTTTTAAATTTATTTGCAACCACTAATAAATTAATGAGTCCAGGCACTGAGCATCAGCAGCTGCTAGTACCACAAAGAGAGGATAGAACACTGCCTCCCAACAGAAGAGCACAGAACTCTGCACCAAGTGCTCTTGCCAAAAAAAAAAAAAAAAAAAAGTCCAACCTGATCTGGTCAAGTCACTAGACCAGCTATGGATTTACCGGAAATGCAGACTATGGGAAACTCTACAATCTAACAACCCAGTTTCTTCAACAAATAAATTATAGGAAAACAGGGAGGGGCAGCCACTAAATGAAAGACACGGAGGCAAACCATCAGCCAGTCGAGAGGCGGGGTCTTATTCAGATACCAAATGAAACCATTCTTTTGCTAATTCTATTATTTATGAGACAATTGGAAATTTGAACCGAGACTGGATGGTTGCTGATATTAAGGGATGGTTGTTACTTGTGCAAATATGAAAGACTGTTATTGCCATTTTTTAGGATCCTAATCATCCAGAGCTATGCTCTGAAATATTTGTGAATTAAATTATACTGTGTCTGGGATGAATGGAACGAATGTTCAGATAATTTGGGAGGGGAAGTAGCTGAGGGTAGAGATGAGACAGGACTGTGTGCGGGCATCACTGCTGCAGCTGGTGGTGGCTTCCTGAAGGTTCCTTATGTGACTCTTTGTTTCTGTGTATGTTTGAACCTTTCATAATAAAAGGCTTGTGTATGTAAATTTTCACACAATAAAAAATTTATATTTAGGAAAAAGGCTAGAAGGATACAAATCAAAATGCTAGCAGACAGGATTATAGGTAAAATTACTTTTTAAATTGCTTAATATCTTCAACAGTACTTTAAAAATCTGGGAAAGAGATGAAACCAAACTATCCCACCCTTCTGCAAGCAAGGTTTTGCCTGTGCACTGCGGGTGGTCGGATACATTGGCACCACTGGACCAGGCAGACGTTTGGCTGTGCCAACCACGGCCCTTACAGGCAAATGCACTTCTCCTACCCGATTTCGCTTCTGGGAATCATGCCCGAGGAAATCATCTCAAATCTGAAATGCCAACAAAGCTGCCTGCGCAAGCTGTCCAGGTCGGGGCTATTTACTGGAGTGGATGCTGGAGTCAGAGGCCGCGTCCAGGGCAGGGAGTGTCTCGGGGAAGCCACGGAAAACGGTAACCACGGGGCAGAAGGCCGCAGACGACGCTGGGGCGCCAGGGATGCGCATCTGCACATATGACACATTGGTTTTGCAAACACGTGTGGAAAATGGACGGAAGCCAGTTATCAGCCTCCCGGGACACCTCGCTAGTATTTAAAATGGAAACGCCCCTAACCCCTCCTGAGGGAACCTGGCTTTCTCAAACGGCCCCGGAAGTTCCCAGGAGGCCTAGGGTCCCTCACCCCACTGCTGCCATGTTCCGTGTCGTTACACTCGCGACCTAGCTTTGTCGTTTGCAACTTGTCCCTGATCGCCTGGAGGGTTCCGTCCACACTCGCTCCTTTTCCCCACCTCTGACGCCCCTCCCAGGCTGCTGCCTGTGTCCACTTTCCCTGAAGATGGAAGAAGGTCGGGTTTCCCTGGGAGGGTCCTCATAGGACCTGCCTGGCCACTCCTTGCCCCAGGACGCCCTGGGCCGGCCACCTCCAGAAACATCTTCCTGCATCCTCAGCAAGAGCTGCCTTTCCACACCCACAGAATCCTCTGCATATTTTCTTACATGAAGACCATTCTTCCTAAAAGAATCTTGTCCCCGCTTTAAAGTTTGTGCTCCCTCCCTGCGGGCGGAATGACAACCCGCACCTCTATTCCCCTCCCGCAGCGGTGGACCCAACTGTTCCGGGGAAGGCTGGCTCCCTTAAAAAAAAAAGAAAGAAACAGAGAGAGAGAGAGAGAGAAAGAGAGAGAGAGAGAGAGAGAGAGAGAGAGAGAGAGAGAGAGAGAGAGAGAGAGAGAGAGAGAGAGAGAGAGAGAGAGAGAGAGAGAGAGAGAGAGAGAGAGAGAGAGAGAGAGAGAGAGAGAGAGAGAGAGAGAGAGAGAGAGAGAGAGAGAGAGAGAGACTACATTTCCCAGACTCCTTTGCGGCCACGGTTGGCCATGTGACCCAATACTGCCAACGGGGTCAGAGCGGCGCGGGGCGCCTCTCCTGTAGGTGCGCTGGAGGAACTGGACGAACTCACACCCCGAAGGGCAGAAGAGCGATGGGACCCAGCCCGCAGTCCCTCCGTGAACCACTGACTGTTACAGGAGCGAATAATCGTCTTCGAGATGGAGTCTCGCTGTGTCGCCCAGGCTGGAGTGCAGTGGCGCGATCTTGGCTTACTGCAACCTCCCCCTCCGGGTTCAAGCAGTTCTTCCTGCCTCAGCCTCCCGAGTAACTGGAATTACAGGCGCCTGCCACCACGCCTGGCTAATTTTTATAATTTTTAGTAGAGACGGGGTTTCGTAATGTTAGCCAGGCTGGTCTCGAACTCCTGACCTCAGGCGATCTGCGTGCCTCGGCCTCCCAAAGTGCTAGGATTACAGGCGTGAAACACTGCGCTCGGCTGGTTTCGTTTTTTAATAAGTAACCAAACCTGCATTCTAGCCAATAAACTCATTCTATTAAAACCTGCCTATAGTGCCCAGGGGCAGCAGGTTGTCTCGTGTCAGGTTCTCCCAGAAGCTGAGTCTGAGTGGAGGATTCAGGTGCAAATGTTTCCCTAGGGAGTTTCTCCCAGCAGAAACCTGCGAGGGAGCCAGGGGAAAAGAAGGAGAAGACAAGCAAGGGTTTCTTCATTTTCCATCCTTGCCATGGCCCAAGGGAGCTCTGCGGCACAAATTATGCCTCTGAGTTTGTCCTGCCTTAAGGCAAGGGGCTGGGCTTCCCTGCTGCATACTTCTCTGAAGCAGGTTTGAGATGCAAGGGTTAGCAACACAGCACAGAGCAGGCAGGGAGCTGGCTTCTCCCAGTAAGGAGGTCTGCAGGCTCCGGTCGAGGCACCAACATTACTCTATGCCCAGGAGTCCCAGACTCTTCGAAGCAGCCTTCCAGGCCCTCTGTGATTTCCACACCTGTCAACCTCCCCCACCCACCTCGGCCCACCTCCTCACACCTTGACCCAACAAAATGAATGACTGACAGCCCCACAAACACTTCCCCAGGACTTTCAACTGGGAGTGCAATACCCCAACCCCACCAGCCTTTGTCCCCAGGACCTCCAGCCAGCACACTAACACCCGGGCCTTCATCCTCTGCCTTCTGGAGATTTCTGGCAGACACCACAAGACCTGGGATAGGACTGCTTAGCAAAGTATGCTGGCATTTGCCCAGAGAGGGTGTCAGGTCCCAGCACACGGGGCTGAGAACGTGGAGAATCAGAGAGGTGCAGTGACTTGCCCAGGGCCACACAGCTAACAGGAGGGAGGAGCTGAGATGATGAGGAAAGGAGAAAGCAGTGCCACAGAGAAGTCTAAAGGTGCGAGAGAAGCTGGGGGAGGTAGACCTCAGACTCTGTGGGGAAGCACCAGCGGTGATGTGGAGGGCATGGTCCAGTGGGGCAGCAAGGGTCCCTGCAACATCAGGCGTCATTTGCTGAGCACTTTGTGGTCAGCTCCTGTACTCCTCACCATGATTCTCAGAGGCGCTGTCTCCTTGGCTTCGCCCAGTACACTCTCAGACACTGAGAAGCTTTGGATTCAAGTAAATCCTAGGAAATACCATAGGGAAGTGGAGAAGTGAGACAGGGAAGAGCCAACTAAGGCTGTTGTCATCTGCAGAGCTATTGCTGGGTGCAACTGGAGCTCCATCCCCTGGAGATGGCGCAGGAGATACACTTCCAGGTCTCCTCTCTTGGCTGGACAGATGCTCGTGAGGAACACCAGCCTCAGCTGGCTGGCTTTGCACTCACTCAAGCAGCTTTGACCCCTCAGCTCCACTTCACAGCAACCAAACCGTGAGGGATGTGCTGACTCACTGAAAGTCATCCACAGACAGAAGGGACCAAGTGGGCCCCAAGAGGGGGTCTGGGCACCTGGCCAGGCTCTGCCCTAACTCCAATCAGGGCTCCAGGACCCCAAGATGGCAGGTCTGTGCCTGCCTGCAAGCACAGCCTGTGAAATGTCACAGTCCCAGGACAGATGCCTCCAGCCTCCTAGCCCAAGGTCTAAGGGCAAGCCCAGCTCTGCCATGGATGTGTGTCCTGAGGGACCCCACGGGGACAGATCGTAGTTGAAGGCGACTGTAGGAAGCAGAATAAACTTGGGTTTGGCCCAAGAGGAGGCAGTGGAGGCAGGGACCAGAGGGACAGCACTATTCATGGAGTGCCTACTGTGCGCCAGCCTGTTCCATGCTGCAGGGTTCTGTTGAAACCACCCACAATCTGGCCGAGTGCCGTGGCTCAAGCCTGTAATCCCAGCACTTTGGGAGGCCGAGACGGGTGGATCACGAGGTCAGGAGATCGAGACCATCCTGGCTAACACGGTGAAACCCCGTCTCTACTAAAAAAATACAAAAACTAGCCAGGCGAGGTGGCGGGCGCCTGTAGTCCCAGCTACTCGGGAGGCTGAGGAAGGAGAATGGCATAAACCCAGGAGGCGGAGCTTGCAGTGAGCTGAGATCCGGCCACTGCACTCCAGCCTGGGCAACAGAGCGAGACTCCGTCTCAAGAAAAAAAAAAAAAAAAAAAAAGAAACGACCCACAATCCTGCAAAGATCCTGCCCCAATCTGCAGATGAGGAAACTGAGTCTCTGAGAGGTGCAGTGACATCTTCAAGGTCATACAACCTGGGGTGAGAGTGTCAAATTCAAGGTTATCTGACCCAAGGGCTGGGGACAGTGGGGGCTGAAGAGGCACGGAGTAGGGCTTTGAGGGCTAACAGGCGTGATCTTGCTCCCGCTGTCGTTCTTAATACAATTAGATGACATCTCTCCCCGGCTCGCAGCCCTCCAGTGACTTTTACCCTCAATATGAAGTTCAGTCTCTCTGCCACGCCCTGCAGGGCCCATGCCATCTGTCCTTCAACCCCTTGGTCTCTTGGGTGGCACGCAATCCCTGGCTGCCCCAGGGACTTTTAAATTCAAATATAAAAACTTTAATTACTTAAATGTAATCATTTAATGGTAATTAAGCTTAACTAGTTTAAATGACTTTCCTAATTAACTTAGATAGAGTTCACTGCTTCTCCTTAGGGAGTGATCATGGGGTGATGCTGGAAGAATGGGGGGAGCACGGCTTTCCGCGAGGGTGAGTGCCTCCTCCCTGCCTGACGCCCTGGCTGAGCAGGCCCAGGTCTGTCTGAGCCCTGCTACAGCTACGGTTCTAGAACACAACGTGGCACATAGGAGGTGCTCAGATAATGCGTGCCATGGGCCAAGCCCTGTGGACAATAACCCAGATAAGGCCCTGCTGTCAGGTTCATGCTGTGCCTCCTTTTCCTTGGATGTCGTGGGAATAGGGAGCCATGGAGGGTTTGGGAGGCAGACAAAGAAAGAATTTCCTAGGCTAGTGCCCAGAGCAACTCCCCCATCCCCAACCAGAGCTTGCAGCTGCCGCTGCCTCCCCAGGCCTCCCCAAGTCCCCAATAAGGCTGGCCCAGAACAGGAATAGAGCAGCCCACGGCTTCTGTGAGGACAGAGTGGGTGGCTGCAGCTAAACCTGACTTGGCAGGTGGCTCCCTGGGGCGGGGCAGAACCTCAGCTTGGGGTAGGGACTAGGGGAAGGACACTTGGGTTTCTGGGCTTCCCTGGCTCTGCCTCACTCTCTGGTGGCCTCAGGAGGGGTCAGAGCCTCACTGAGCCTCTGTAACCTCCAGGAGAAGCTGGCTGCCCTGGGTGTGAAGACACACAAGCTCTGATAAACATAGTACAGCTAATGTATATATAGACCCTCCCACCTGGTTTCCAAAAGGATTTGCAACAGCTTTCACAAAAGGCGAAGAAATGAGCATTGAGAGTGAGCCAGGGTTTACACATGGGCCCCTCACGTCACAGGCCTGGGGAACTAGAACAGGGACAAGAAGATGGAGTCCAGATCCCTCCAGGAATCGTGTCTGTATGTGAGTGAGCTCCCCATCAGGGCGGGTATGCAAGCAGAGGCCGGCAGGCCTTGGTGGGGGTGTGGTCGAGGGGATTGGTGCATCAGGGAGAGGTGCAGTCAGATGTCAAGCCCCTGTTGGAAGATGAGGTGACTGGTCCTGCCTGCCCACCATGGCCCCTGCCCACAAGGAAACCAGGATGAGATAATGCTGGTGTTGGGGGCCTGTATTCATCTGTTTCATTGTTGCTATAACAAAATACCACAAACTGGATGATTTCTTCTTTTTTCTTTTTTTAAATGGAGACAGGGTCTCAATCTGTCAGCCAGGCTGGTGTGCAGTGGCAATCACCGCTCAATGCAGCCTCGATCTCCTGGGCTCAAGCAATCCTTCCACTTCAGCTCCTGCAGTAGCTGGGACTGCAGACAGCCACCACCATACCTGGCTTTTTTGTAAGGATGGGGTGTTGCTATGTTGCCCCAGCTGGTCTTGAGCTCCTGGCCTCAAGCGATCCTCCCGCCTTGGCCTCCCAAAGTGCTGGGATTACAAGTGTGAGCCATGTGCCCAGCCCAGACTGGGTACTTTCTAAACAACAGAAATTTCTCAGGGTTCTGGAGGCTGGGAAGTCAAGATCCAGGCCGGCATCTAACAAGGACTTCCTGCTGTGTCCTCCCATGGCAGAAGGAAGGCGGAAAGGCAAGAGAGTGCCGGAAGGAGCGGGGGAGGGCAAAACGCCCTTTTATTACAACCAACCGCCTGGGTAACTAACCCACTGGGAGATGGCTGGCGGCTTTCATCCATTCAGGAGGGCGGCCCCCCAGGACCTAATCCCGCTGTGAAGCCCCATCTCCTAACACAGCAGCTTGGGGGACACATTCCATCCTGCTGGCCCCTGACCATTCCCTGGGGGAAGAGGGACTTGACCACTGTTTCGGGGCTGCTGGAGCCTGAGCCGCCAGGTGGGCAGCACGGGCCTCCTTGGGCTCCGAGGGAGGGCATGGGAGCGGGAGGGAAGCCCGGACGACGCTAATCCCCGGCATGAGTGCTGCCTGCTGTCTGGCCTGAAGCTCCTGCCTTCCCTTCTGTGAGGTGCAGAGTCCTCAGCCAGCACAAGGCGTGAATCGGCTTGCTTCTAGACAGCCTTCCCAGGGCGGACCCCTGGAATAAACAGAACGGCAACACTGCCCCCAGACCACCTCCCGCCCAGCCCTGCTGCCTGCTGTCTGCGCTGAGCCTTGGGGCAGCCTTCCTGCACCTGCCCTGTCTGCTGTGAGCAAGGCCGGCTCCTCCTGGTCTTGCGGGGGAGGCGGTCAGCGGAGCAAGAATGAAAATAAATAAATGTGAAGAAAGTGCGGCAGGACAAGGGTGGTCAGGGAGGCATCTGAGCAGACCCCTGAGCGGGAGCACATCCGGGGAAGAGCGTTGCGGGCGGAGAACAAGACGGCCCGTGCAGAGGCCCTGCGCCGCCAGGCTCGGGGTGAAGCGCAGGGAGCCAGGCTCAGGGTACCGGGGAGGCGGGGGCAGGCGCCCAGGGTGGGGCACTGTGGACCATGAGGAGGCCCCCACCGAAGACGGGAGCTGCAGCAGGGATCTGGAGGAGAGGCTGCTCGCCCTGGCCTCTAGAAGGGAATTCGCCAAATCCTCCCTCCACAGCATCGCTGCTCCGGAGCAGGCCTGTCTGCTGCGTTTTCTTTTTCTTTTTTTGTTTTTGTTTTTTTTTTTTTTTGAGGAGTGTCACTCTGCCACCCAGGCTGGAGTGTAGCAGTGCGATCTCAGCTCACTGCAACCTCTGCCTCCCAGGTTCAAGCGATTCCCCTGCCTCAGCCTCCCAAATAGCTTGGATTACAGACGTGCGCCGCCACGCCCGTCTAATTTTTGTATTTTTTTTTAAGTAGAGACGCAGTTTCACCATCTTGGCCAGGCTGGTCTCGAACTCCCGACCTCAGGTGATCCACCTACCTTGGCCTCCCAAAGTGCTGGATTACAGGCGTGAGCCAACACGCCCGGCCTGTCTGCTGCATTTTTAATGCTGCCTGATGAGGAGGCTCTCACGGCTGTAATTGAACAGAAAGTCCACACGCCTCTGCCATCTCCGGGTCCAGAGACTCATTAATCCCGGGCCTGGAAGAGGCGCCTGCCCGGACCCTGCTGCCTGACAGGAAATGCGGGCGTCCGGCCTCGGGGGAGGGGGGGCCCGGCCGCTCCCCATCCCCATTCCCCTACTTCAGGGCCAGGGAACAGGGGAGAGGGGCCCTGCCGCTTGAGACCTCCACGGAGGCCCTGGGTAGTATAAACTGTCAAGGGCCTGGGCTTCGTAAATGTTAGTGAACTGCACACTGGCTTCCCCACTCTGATGGCTGGACACGCTCTGTAAAAGCCAAAGTGTCCCATAAATGGCAAGGGAACTGGAAACGACTGGGGCTGCAGTCGTGCGTGGAGGCTCCTGCTCTCTATGAAGGGCTGAGGCGTCCAGCCAGGCCTGCGAGCCGCGAGCTGCGCGGTGAGCTGCTGGGCGCTGGGTAACCTCAGGGGCGCGCACGGTAAATCGCTAGGCTTTGGGTCTGCTTCTCTCTGCAGGCTGCAGAGTCCCCAGAAGCCCCGAGGGCCGGGCCTGGGGGTGCACACGGGTAGGACAGCCACGGAGGCCGAGAACTGGGCTGACGCGTGGCAAGCCCGCGGCCTCCAGCCGCGCCGAGGACACACGAGGACGCGGACCGGCGCTCGGGGCCGGGCGGGGCTCCAGGGCACGCTGTTGAAGCCGAGCTCTATCGCCCCCTGGCGGCTACAGGAGACGGAACCTGGGGCCGCGCCCCACCAAGGGATTCATTCCCTTCCTCCCCGCTTCCCTCCCTCCCTCATTCATTCTTTCATGTGTTCATTCAGCAGAAGCCGAGCGCTCCCTCGGTGTCGGCAGCATTCTCAGTGCTGACGACACAACAGTGACAAATCAGGTCTCGGCCTGGATAACCCAGGATAATGAGCCAGACTGGCTGGGCCTGGTGGGTGGAGGCTATTTGAGCCAGGGTGGTCCTGGAAGACGTCGCTGATGAGGTGACATGGGAGACCCGGATGGGATTGTGGGGAGCCAGTCACAGGAAGACGGGGGAGGGGGTGTTCTACGCAGAGTGGACAGTCAGTGCAAAGGTCCTGGGGTGAGAACAAGTCTTCACGATTGAAGGATGGAGGGAGACAACAGCTCCCAGGAATTATTAGCCCCTGTGCCAGGGAAGGGTTAGAGGGCAGAGACCTGACCCAGACTGGGACTGGAGGACAGGAGGAGTGCGGCAGGACAAGGGTGAGACAGACCCCATGGGGACCCTCCTCCTGGGAACACACCCTAAGCTTCCTCAGAGGACCACAGAGGCCCTGCTCCCAGACCTTGAGCCATAGTGCGCTGAGTCCCTCATGCCTGCCCTGACCTGAGCCGTCGCACCCACCCTCCTGGCGTGGGGATGAATCCGACTCCTTCCCAGCTGGTAAGAGCCAGTCCTGGGACTTTGGGGTACCCTGGGCACGGTGTGCTGAGCTCTTGGAGTCCCTGGGTCCTGACTGGTCCCCATGAGGGGGTGAACCTGAGACTGATGAACAGCCAAGGTGGACGCAAATCCTTCAGGGCATCAGCTGAACTTTGACCCCAACGGTACCTGCTTATGTGAGCAAATTCGCTGCTTCCCCCGGCCATGCTGCCAGTGTCACAGGGCCAGACTGCAAGGGCACCTTCATCAGGCTGCCCCCACTCCCCTCGGAGCCTTCTGCGGAGCCCACCACCTGTCCCCAAGTCTGTTTTTCTCTTATAAGCTGTGTGGCTTTGGGCAAGTGATGTCAGCTCTCTGGGTCTGTTTTCCCATCTGTAAACTGGAGGTCACGTAACCTCCATGAGGTCACCGTGTCCAGCCCAGGCACAGTGTCCGGGGTGCTCGCCGCTCTGTGCACCTGGCTGTCATCACTACTCCAGGACAGTGGGATGGGTGGCCGCCACCAGCGGGCTGGGCCTGTGTGTTCGCTGCTCTGTCCAGCGTCAGTACAGGGCCTGGTGCCTGGATGATCACAGCATGTTACCTCGTCACAGCCCTCTGGGGGCCTCTGTGTCCTCAGATATAGAAGGGCCTGATGGGTCAGCAACCCTCCCTCCCCTAAGCACGACACCCTGGCCCTGGCCCAGAGGCAAGGGTCCCTCGAGGGGCCACAACCTTCCCCAAGTAAAAGGGGGGCTCGCAGGTGTCATACGGAGTCTCACACAACCTTTAATCCTTTTCTTTTTTTTTTTTTAATTAAAACAGCAACCAGGTAACTGCCCCAACCCATCAGGGAAAGGACCCGGGATGGGCAGTCGTTTTTTCAAAAAAATATATTTTCTTTTTTTAAAAACAACACCAAAGCAAACCCATAGCCCCCGCTGAGCCAGTCCTCAGGGAGAGTGGGCGGCAAGGCTCCCCCTGCACTTCTCTGAGCAGAGATCTTGGGCCCCTCCCACTGGACCCCAGCCTGAGCAGAGGGCGAGGCTGATACCCTAGGGGGTGGGGGAGAAGCGATCAGATCCAAACCATGCAAGAAAAACAAGCCAAACCCATAAAGCAAAAGAAAAAATCAACAGAGGATAAATTAAAAAAAAAACGAAAAGGTGAATGACACCGATTAGGGTGGCAGGCAGGACTGGGTGACCCAGTGTGCCCCGCAGAGGCCCCGTTTGCCAGTGCCAGCGGAAGGCCTTGGGCGGCTCATGGCATCTCCCTCATGGGAGTCTTGGGGGATTCACACAGCTCATCCCCTCTTGTGTACCCCGCACCAAAGCCGGGATAGAGGTGTGGCCACCCTGGGCCAAAGTGTGCAAAGTCCATTCAGTCAAGAGATTAAAAAAATATACAACTTGGCTGGCATCCAGGCTGGGCAAGGCAGTGGCCCATTCACCCAGGCACCAGCGGCCTGCTGTGCAAGGGGCAGCAGCATCCACAGGGGGCATCCAGGCCCCCTCAGTCCAGGATCTCAGCAGCTGGAGACGGGTCCTTGGAGCAGCAGGGAGAGGCACTGGTGGGGCCGACAAGGGCCTGGCTGGCAGCCCTGATGGTCTGCTTCTTTGGCACTTGGGACAAATGGCTCGCTGCAGAGTCAGGTGGGAACAGGCCCCTTGGTTCCTCCCAGGTGCCCTGGGCCAGGATGGCAGTAGCTTATGGTGTGGGTGAGCACTGCCCCCGCAGATGGGGCTGTGGGGCTCTGGAGGGCCGGAGTGGGGTCCGAGGCCCAGCCCCTATGAGTCTTCGCCCAGGATCTCCTTCACGAAGGCAGCGATGTCTGTCTTCTTGGTTTTGTGCAAGGTGAAGAAGGGGTGCTCCTGGGGGTGACAGAAGGCACAGTCACCATGGAGGGGGTAGCGGGAGGGGGAGGTGGCCACTCCTCCCCAACCAGCTCCAGCCCAAGTGTTCCTCCTGACTGGCAAAATCCTACTCATCCTTCTAGGACCTCCACCCCCAGGAGGCCCTCCATGACAGTCACGATGGCATTTGTGGCTCCTCCTCAGCTCTCTTGTGGTCACTCTCCAGCCACACTGACCTCCCTTTTCCCCGACACGTCAGGCCTCTGCCCATGCTGGACCTTCTGCTTGGGACGCCTCTCGGTCAGCAGATAACCCTTATTCATCCTTCCAGGCTCAGTTCAAATGGTCCCTCCTCCATGAAGCCTTCCCTGATGCCACCCTTGGCCCCTCTGCCCCATTCTGTCACACACTGCCTGTGTATCCTTCCCAGGGCCTGGCATGCAGGAAGGAGGGAGGAGGGAGCCAGGCATGCAGGAGCAAACAAATGACCGAGCACCTAAAGGAGTGAACACAGGGCCAGCCGGAGGAGCTACCCATCTGTGTGCAGGACGTAGCCCTCTGCCCAGAGCCCCACTCAGCCCCAGCCAGCCCCGAAGAGCAAGGCAGGCACCTCCCGCCCGTACTCACCATCAGCTCCAGGTAGCTCATACGCTCTGCGGGGTTCTTCCTCAGGCTAGGAGAGAAGAGTGCAGCTGTGGCCAGGCGGGCAGAGGGGAAGGAAGCCCAGCCCCCGAGGGCCAGCCAAGCCACTCTGGGATTGCCCCAGGCCTGGCAGCAGGGGACACGTGCACCCAGGGAAGAAGGGACAGGAGTGTCCAGGGCTTCTCCCAGGGTGGAGGGGCATTCATAGGGGCAAACTAGAGACTCGCAGCAAGTTTCTGGCTCTTGGGGTCCTGGTTTTCTTGTCTCCATAGTGACCTAGGAATTTCCATATCAACACCAAAATGGGACTGCAATGTTCTGCCTAACAAGCATATACTCGGTATCCTCAGTCAGGAGAGAAAACTCCTTATCATGGGTTCTGGGAGAGGTTAGTCCCCAGTTAAAGGGGTCAGACTGCCCAGGGACACTGCTGGGCTCCTCTGTTGCTGATTATGGTCAACAACAAAAGTGCTGGGACCATGGGTGTGAGCCACCGCACCCGGCCGCTTCTTCCTTACCCATTTCTTGCTCTGTTTAATTATGGTCAGAGAAGTTGGTCTGTATGACTTTGCCTTCTTCCTTAGTCCCTCTGTAACCTCAAACATGATTTTTTTTTTTAAGAGAGAATCTCGCTCTGTCGCCCATGCTGGAGTGCAGTCGCATGATCTCGGCTCAGGCTCACTGCAACCTCTGGCTCCTGGGTTCAAGCGATTCTCGTGCTTCAGCCTCCTGAGTAGCTGGGATTACAGGCGTACACCACCATGCCTGGCTAATTTTTCTATTTTTAGTAGAGACAGCGTTTCCCCATGTTGATCAGGCTGGTCTCCAACTCCTGACCTTGTAATCCGCCCGCCTCAGCCTCTCAAAGTGCTGGGATTACAGGCATGAGCCACCGCACCCAGCCTCTCAAACATGATTTTTATAAGGCTCCTGTGGGGCATTCTTTAATTTGGTACAAAGTTCTAGATATCAGTAAAAGCAAACTTGTTTTTTGTGTTCAAATCTTCCATACACTTTGTTCTCTTTTCAGTCTGTCTGATTTGTCCACTTCTGGAAGAACTATATTAAAATCTCCCACCAGGACCATCGTTTTGTCAAATGCGCCTCATGCTCCAGCTGTTTCTGCCTTACATATTTCGATGCCATGTCATCTGGGGGGTTATTTGCAAAAACAAAAAGGAACAGGGCCCAGGAAGGTACAGGGATCTGGCCAGGGAGGGGCAGTGACAGGTGCTCAGCAGCACCCAAGACTCACCACTGAGCAGTGAAGTCCACAAACTCGGGGGAGAAACGGTCGGCTGGGAGCTGGGGGGACGGCTCCTCCACCACCTGCTTCAGCTGCTGGAACGGGGTCCCCCAGGACTCGTAAGGGAACCGCAGGATGGCCATCTCAATCTGCAGTGGTGACATGGGGGGTCAGAGGCCCTGGCCCCAGATACACCCACGCTCTGCACCCAGGAGCCAGGGTTGGGGGCTCCCACCCATCCTGGTCCCGGAGCCAGGCCTCAAAGCTGCACAGCTCATCTCCCTATCACAGCCCAGCAGGACAAAGGCAAGAAAGCTCTTAGCTCCTCCCACCCAGCCAGCAGGACCCAGCTCAGGAAGCAGATCAGGCCGACGCCGGGACTGGTGGGACCATCACTGGGTTTTCAGACAACCTGAATTCTGAAGATTTTACAAAACAATGCAGGTTCCAGCTGCTCTGGAGAAATCTGAGGAGGTGGCAACCTCGGGCCGCAGCCTCGTGAGCCAGGTGGGCAGGTCCCAGGTGGTCACAGCCATTCCCCGCCCTAACATCTGACCATCTCAGACTTCAGCATCTGCTGTCATTTATTTGGGCTGCTGTTTTCACAGAGGAGGCACACGGGAAATGCTACACACACACACACACACACACACACACACATACACAGCTGTCCCCAAGGCCACAGACAGACTGTGAGACCATAAGGTTGCTTCGCCTCTGCACCCGTGAGCCTGCAGCCTCATCTTCTGCAGGGCCCCGGCAGTTTCCCTCCTAGACAAGTGGCCTGTGTGGCCACATGTGCCCTGCTGGATCCGGACTTCCTGTGGGTGACATCGGGCCGGTGGGTCTCTGTACTCGCTGCAAGCTCCCAGCCCTGTGTCCTCCCTGTGGTTGGCAAGAAGTCATCATGGAAGGGACGGACTAGCTAGGACTAGTCTGGGCTCCAGTCATGACGACTGGATGGAAAAAACAAGTCATGTCAGCCCTGGTTCCAGCCTGGAAGGACAGAGAATTCCGAGGCTCCAGCACAAGGAATTCGGAGGCCCTCGCTGATGGCCGTCCTCACCATGATGAACGGAAGAGGCCTCAGCACAAACGCTTGGCACTGGCAACTGGAGCCTGGACAGGACCCTAAGGACTGTGCTGAGAACGTGCCTCCCATCAAGCTAGAGGCCCTTTCCAGCTCGGACACAAACATACCCACACAGGCAGGGCCCACTGTGTGTGTGTGCGTGTGTACACGTGTGTTCACAGGACAAAACCGTACCGATTTGGGGGGCTTTTCTCTTAGAATTTTCACTGACTGCAATATGTAAAGCAAGGACCCCACATGAGCTGCAGGAGAAGGGCCAGTGGCCATGTGAGTTATAATTAGAAAACCAGAAGTGTCCAAATCCTCAACCTCGTACTCCTTTATTTTTTCTAAAGAGCTCAAAAATACCTGGGCGCGGTGGCTCACGACTGTAATCCCAGCACTTTGGGAGGCTGAGGCAGGCAAATCACAAGGTCAGGAGTTCGAGACCAGCCTGGCCAACATGGTGAAACCCCGTCTCTACTAAAAATACAAAAAATTAGCCGGGCATAGTGGAGGGCACCTGTAATCTCAGCCACTCTGGAGGCTGAGGCAGGAGAATAGCTTGAACCTGGGATGTGGAGGTTGCAGTGAGCCGAGATTACTCCACTGCACTCCAGCCTGGGCGACAGAACAAGACTCTGTCTCAAAAAAAGCTCAAAAAATGAAAAACAACCAAAATAGCCTCTGGGCACAAAGATGTGCCATATGGTGTCATCTGCCAGGAAATGTTTAGAGGCAGCCTGAATGTCCAGCACCAGGGGCCGGCCCCACTGTGGGGGCGGAGACCCAGCCAGGACCGCAGTCACACCCCTGTGACTCCCCAGCGACAACACTAACAGGCCAGCACCCAGTCAGCACTCGCTCCTGGCCAAGGGCCATCCCTGGCATGACCCCTGTCTGTTCTGGGTGATTCCCACTGGCATCCTAAGGCTTGTGCAGTGAGTGGGAAAAAGCCAATGCCAAGAGAGCGCTGGGGCCCTTGCAGGATGGGGTGAGGCTGAGACCAGGGTCCCACCCAGGGTGACTCTCCCGACTCTGTTTCACCAGTCACTTCCCCAGGATGGCCAAGAATTTCAAATGGAAGGAAAACATCAGGAACAAGGGAAACATCCCACATCAGCAGACAGGGTGAGTGAATGGTGGCAGATGCTTATGGAATCTTTGGAAGAGATACATACAGGAGTCTATTACAATTTAGAGAAATTGGCCAGGTGCGGTGGCTCACACCTGTAATCCAAGCACTTTGGGAGGCCGAGGCGGGCAGATCACATGAGGTCGGGGGTTCGAGACCAGCCTGACCAACATGGAGAAACCCCGTCTCTACTAAAAATACAAAATTAGCCAGATGTGGTGGCGCATGCCTGTAATCCCAGCTACTTGGGAGGCTGAGTGAGGCAGGAGAATCACTTGAACCTGGGAGGCAGAGGTTGTGGTGAGCTGAGATTGCACCATTGCACCCCAGCCTGGGCAACAAGAGCAAAACTACGTCTGAGAAAAAAAAAAAAAAAAACAGAGAGAGAGAAAAATATGAACAATATATAATGCTATAAAATAAAAATTAAAAAGGTTTTTAAAAAGAAGCATTACGAGGCTGGGCGCAGTGGCTCACACCTGTAATCCCAGCACTTCAGGAGGCTAAGGTGGGTGGATCAGAGTCAGGAGTCTGAGACCCGCCTGGCCAACATGGTGAAACCCCATCTCTACTAAATATACAAAAATGAGCCGGGCATGGTGGCACACGCCTGTAGTCCCAGCTACTCGGGAGCCTGAGGCAGGAGAATAACTTGAACCTGGGAGGCGGAGGTTGCAGTAAGCCAAGATCACACCACTGCACTCCAGTGTGGGCGACAGAGCGAGACACTGTTTCAACAACAACAACAAAAAGAAGCATTACATATTGTTCATATTTCTCTAAATTATAATAAAATGTATTATAATGCACAATATTGGCACTGAAATGGGGTAAGAGGTGTCTCTAGGTAGCTAACTACAGTCATTTTCCCCTTACTTTGCCTCTGTATTTTTATGTTAGGTTTCCACCACTTTTGTAACTTGTGGGAGAAAAACCTAACCCATGCCCAAAGAGGCCACCTTCACCTCCACCTCCCTGTGTGCGCCTGCCGATCCTCCATCAAGCCGGGAGCATTCCCTGTCCTTGAACCTGAGCTGGCCTGTGACTTGCTGACCAAACAAGGAGGCAGAAGTGATGCTGTGCCAGTTCTAGGCCTAGCACTTCAGAGGACTTCCTTTTGGATGCCAGCCATCATGAAAGAACTCCAACTCTGCTGACACTGCCATGCTCTGAAGCCCAGGGAGCAGGCCAAGGTGAGTAAGTCACATGGAGAGGCCAGGCGGAGGAGGCCCATGTTTGTGAGGTCGTGTTGGGACTTTCAGCCCAGCCCAGCCCAGCCCAGCCATGACCCCAGCCAGTGCCAGGTACAGCAGAAGAGCCATCCAGCTGAGCCCAGCCACAATGGTGGAAACATGAGAAATAAGAAACTGCCATTGGTTTGGGTCAGTAGGTTCTGGGGTGGTTTGCTATGCAATATTTGATAACTGAAATGTACACTTAGCACACACTTGTCCAAGTTCCATCAGCTACATCAGAAGGCCACTAGCCATGGTGGGCCCAATAATGATGATGGACAGATGGAAGGGAGACAGAGAGGTGGGGAAGGGACATAAGGGTGTGTGTATGTGTGAGGTGGTCATGAGCGGGGTCTCTAATATCCAACCAGTTCTGTGCAGTCTAAATACAGCAAGAACTTGTCCTTTGCATCTAACCTAGGACTTGGAAAACTATTATTGCAGATACAGCACCTGCCTTCAGGCTGAATATTCCTCTCCACCTCAAAAAAAAAAAAGTTTAATTGAAAAATTACATGTCACCAATTAACGAAAATTGAAGGTATGGCCCAGTCCCACCTCTCTGACAAAATTATTTTGACTTTGAGTCTTTCCCAGTCACTGTCTACAGATACACTGTTTATAAAGTTACAGCCACAGGCCAGGCGCAGTGGCTCAAGGCTGGGCATGGTGACTCATGCCTGTAATCCCAACACTTCGGGAGGCCGAAGTGGGTGGATCACCTGAGGGCAGGAGTCGGAGACCAGCCTGGCCAACATGGTGAAACGCTGTCTCTACTAAAAATACAAAAATTAGCTGGGCGTGGTGGCAGGCACCTGTAATCCCAGCTATTCGAGAGGCTGAGGCAAGAGAATTGCTTGAACCTGGGAGGCGGAGGTTGCAGTGAGCTGAGATTGCGCCATTGCACTCTAGCCTGGTCAACAGAGTGAGACTCCCTCAAAAAATAAAAAAATAATAAAAAAAAGGCCAGGCGTAGTGGCTCATGCCTGTAATCCTAACACTTTGGGAGGCAGAGGCAAGCAGATCACCTGAGGTCAGGAGTTTGAGACCAGCCTGGCCCACATGGCGAAACCCCATCTCTTCTAGAAATACAAAAATTTGCCAGGTGTGGTGGCTCACGCCTATAATCCCAGCTACTGGGGAGGCTGAGGCAGGAGAATTGCCTGAACTTGAGAGGTGGAGGTTGCAATGAGCTGAGATCGTGCCATTGCACTCCAGGCTGGGCGACAGAGTGAGACTCTGTCTCAAAAAAAAAAAAAAAAAAAAAAAAAGCAGGGCATGGTGGCACAAGCCTGTAATCCCAGTTACTTGGGAGGCTGAGACAGGAGAATCACTTGAACCTAGGAGGCAGAGGTTGCAGTGAGCCAAGATTGTCCCATTGCACTCCAGCCTGGGCAACAAAATGAGACTCCATCTCAAACAAATAAAAATAAAAAATAAATAAAGTTCCAACCACATGATGATAATAACGATGGTAGCAGCAACACCAATAAAACCCACAACACCCGCGTCAACTCTCTACCCACCAGACACTTCTCTTCCCTCGCTCCCAACCCTCCCTCCCTCTCCTCTGACCTGGGCCACCCAGGCACACAGCAGGCACAGCCCCACCTCAGGGCCTTTGCACCTGTACCCCCTGGTCTACCCTGCCCTCAGGTCAGCAGGGTGCCCTCTTTGCAGAGGCCTCCACATCTGCAACAGTGGCCTTCCACCTGTCCCCAGGGCCACACCCACCTGCCCCACTCTTCTCCACCCCTGTGGCATCAACAGAAATTTATTTGGTCTTTGTTCCTGGCACAGAGCTCCTAAAACCCTTGGAATTTCCTGAGTGACAGGAGCGGCTTTGTTATCCACAAGAAGCTTGAGTTTATGCTAATGAGGTGACTCAGGGTGAGGCCCCTAGACAGTCTCAGGACCCGGCTGCTGCCCAGAAAACCCAGCTGATTATACAGGGTGGGAATTCTCAGCATCACCCGCCAACTGACACTGAGAGGAGGGGGCTGCAGACTGTGCTCTATAAAAACTTTCAGTGGGTGCGGTAGCTTGTGCCTATAATCCCAGCACTTTGGGAGGCCAAGGTGGGCAGATTGCTTGAGCCCAGGATTTCAAGACCAGCCTGGGCAACATAGTGAGACTCCTCTACAAAACATTTAAAAAATTAGCTGGGCGTGGGGGCACACACCTGTAGTTCCAGCTACCTGGGAGACTGAGGTGGGGGGATGGCTTGAGCCTGGGAGTTCAAGGCTGCAGTGAGCTGCGATCGCACCACTGCACTCCAGCCTGAGCAACAGAGTGAGACCCTCTCTCAAAAATAACTTCTCCATGTGAGGCCGGGCGCGGTGGCTCATGCCTGTAATCCCGGCACTTTGGGAGGCTGAGGAAGGCAGATCACTTGAGGTCAGGAGTTCGAGACCAGCCTGGCCAACATGGCAAAACCCCACCTTCACTAAAAATTAGCTGGGCATGGTGGTGCCTGTAATCCCAGCGACTCGGGAGGTTGAGGCACAAGAATTGCTTGAACCCAGGAGGCAGAGGTTACAGTGAGCTGGGACTGTGCCACTGCACTCCAGCCTGGGCGACAGAGTGAGACTCTGTGTCAAAAACAACAATAAAACTCCATGAGCTTGAGGAGCCTGTAGGTTGGGCAAGCACAGGGAGGTACCAGGAGGGTGCCAGGCCCTGAGAGGGCATGGCAGCTCTGTACCCCACACTCACACCCCTCCCCCCATGTGTCTCTTCCACCTGGCTGGTCCTGAGTTATATCCTTTCTGATAAACCAGTAAACACAAGTAAAGTGTTTTCGTGAGTTTTGTGAGCCATTATCAAACCTTAGGAGAGGGTCGTGGGAAACCCCAATTTGTAGCGGGTCAGTCCAGTAGTATGGGAGACCCGCTACTTCCAAGTGGTGTGTGATGTTAGGGGCAGTCTGGTGGGAGGGAGCCCTTAACATGTGAGGTCTGTGCGAACTCCAGGTAGCATGAGAACCGAACAGAACTGCAGGACACTGGGCGGGTGTCTGGAGAATCTGAGAATGGGTTGTGGTGTTGGAAAACACCCCGCCACTGCTTCTCACCACATCTTACTGATTTCCTCTGATGGCCTCATCCCCAACAACAAATAGTTAAAGGGACTGGGGACAAGCAGGAATGTCCTGGGCCAGGCTTCCCTGGGCAGGGAAGGAGCTGATGCCCAGAAAACTCCATTGGTCCCAAGCCACGCAGCTGGCAAAGGCCACCGGCCTGAGCCCTACCTGCTGATGGCATCGTCCTTCCACGCATCTCCTGCACAACTTCCTAGCCCTGGCTGGGGGACACACCCTGGTGGTCTTCCCATCCTTCCAATCCACTATCTACATGGGAGTCAGAGCAGGCTCACCCACACCTTGACCTGAGCCCCGACACAGAAGGCATGGGGTTTTGCCAGGCAATTCCAGAAGCAATGGCTCTGGGCCCATCCCTACACCTGGACTTCTGCCGCATCTGCTCTCACCCTACCCAAGCCAGGGATGCCTTTGGCCTCCACAGGCCCAGGATTGAGAGTCCACCCACCCTTCCTACCACTCCACAGCAAGGTACCAGCACGCCACTGGCAACAAACCTTCTGCTATGAAATATTTCTGAAAAGATCTTCACCATCTTGCTTTTGCACGATTTACATACCAGGAACTCACATAATTTGGGATTGGCTGTGATTTCTCAGCAAGCACCAAGAACTCCAGAGAAAGCCCTGTGGCCACCACATCACAAAGCGCCCAGGACTTCATGATGAGTGACCCTGACCCTAGGACGTTCCCCTAAATCGATGGTAATTTCTGATGGCATGTTTTCTTCTCAGATTTTGAAGTGAATACTTCTTTCCAGAGCCTAAACTATTTGAGGAGTCCCCCAAAAGCTCAGGGCCCCAGGCACAGCTCCACCCACCCCACCTGACAACCAAGGGCAGGCCCTGGCCCCACACAGTACCATGGTAATGCCCAGGCTCCAGACGTCGGACTTGACATTGTAGCCCTTCTGGTTCAGCTCCGGGTTGATCCTCTCAGGCTGCAGGAGGGAACAGTGAGGCGTGAACACCCGCCCCAGGTAAGCTCCGATGGCTAGGCCTTGCCTCCCAATCCCCAAACTGAGCGCTCAGCTTAGCCCACCTGCCCATGTGACCGGGGAGGAAACTGAGGCTAGGAGGGCCTGGGTCATACTTAGAAGGCCCAAACCTTGCCTCGGGCTGCCCCTACCTGGGAGCAGACCCCTAAGGCCCTTCTGACAATGAGGGCGGGGCAGGACCGGCACAGCCCACCACGGTCCTCCGGGGAGGTTGTTCATGCAGCTTATCACCTAACTGGGGCGCTGTGGGGGTCAGTTAACAACAGGGTACAGAAGGGCTGCCCCTGGGCAGCCAGACACAGGTGGCCCCACTATGGTAGGAAACGCAGTGTGGGGAGGCTCTGCCCGACGGGTAGAGGGCATGGCCGGGGTGGCTGATTTGGGCAGATCTCTCCCCGCCCCATCCTCTCCTGAGCCTGGGGGGCTTGGGGACCACTCACGGCCATGTAGGGCTTGCAGCCGGCATCCATCGTCTTGGCCACAGAGTCCACCAAGTAACCACTGATGCCGAAGTCACACATCTTCACATGGCCCTCCTTGTTGATAAGGACATTGGAGGGCTTCACATCTGCCAGGAAAGGACATGCCTCAGCCACATCTGTGGAGCATGACTGGAGGCAGGTGCCATGCTCTGCATAGCTGTGTCCCCCTCCCTCGCCCCAGACCCCTCCTGTGCCCCCTCCCATGCCCCAGTGGGCAGGTTCCACCAGGGTCCCAAGGGTCGGACCAGGGAACTGAGGCTGCAAGAGGTGTCGGGCTAGCTGACGGTCATACATGGTCCTCAGGGAATAGCCAGGACGTGCCCAGCCCAGCCAAGCCACTGCAAAGAAGGCAGGACTCCAGGTGCTTTGCTGGGGGCGCCGCGCCTGCATCCGCCCTCCAGACGTGAGGTGCAGTGAGAGCCTGGCTTGTGTGGGTGCTCCCAGAGGGCAGCAGGATCAATTAAAGCCCGGGAGGCAGGATCTGTGTGTTTGGACATGGAGTCCCCACAGACCAGCATGGGAGACCAGCCTAGCAGGGATTCTCCATGCAAATGCGCACAGGACACTCGCATCCGCGTGCCCTCCATGGGGATGTGTGTAAAGATGGAAATGCACATAAAAAGGACCAGAAGGTTCCGTGCCAAACGCCAACCACAGTGACCTGGAGGTAGAGGCTGGGATGGGCACCCAGTGGTCAATGGGAACTAAGCCTAATTCATTTTTTGAAAAGCCGTAAATCTGGAAAAATAGACTTGGGCTCAGCAGCAAAAAGGAACAAACCGACACCACACCAGACCCGGGTGGGTCCAGAAACATCAAGCTAGTGAGGCTGATGTTCCAGAAAGGGCGAAACCAACCCACCATGGGAAAACCAGACTTGTGGCTGCCTTAGGCACATGAGGGATGGCAGAGAAGGGGCCCAAGAGAACATTTTGGGCTGGGGTAAGGGAATTATCCTGCATCTTGCAGGGAGGTGGTTGCATGGGTGTGAACGTGATTATACGTACTCTGTGCTGGAATTTCACGATTTGTAAACTATACGTTAGAACAGAACCCGGTCCACCTTTCTCAGGACAAAGGTAAAACTAGTCCTTGCTTCGAACACCAGCAAACATGAGGGGAGGCAGCTGCAGGGCTGCAGGTGGAAAGCGGCTGGGACCCCACTGGGCACGTCACAACTTATCACCTCTCTGAGCCTCAGCTGCTCATAGGGAGACGTCTACCCTTTTGGCCTGGGATCCCTCCCACTGGCTGCACCGTGCCTGGGTGGCTGCCGGGTACTGACCTCTGTGGATCACCGACAGCTTGCTGTGCAGATGCTCCAGAGCCCGCACGATCTGGCGGTGGGGTGGGGAGGAGGGAAGAGACAGGACTCTGTTATTGCTGGTCATGTCAACAACGACAGCAGTAAGACCCCATCCATGTCCACCTGTCTCCTGCTCCCGCTGCACAGGCTAGGCACCTCCTCACCCCAGCCTCCTGCCCTGTCCTGGCATTTGCCTCAGCATCCTAACAATCCCTGTGCGGACACACTCAGCCTCCTGCCTCCTCTCACCCTCCCAGGCTCACCTCCCAGGGAGCCATCATCATCACTGCCTGCCAGGCTCTTCTTGGGTAAAAGCCAGCTCTTGGCAGCCTTCCTGTCCCATCTTCCCTCCCGTGGCAGAGCCAGTATTCTAGCAGCTTGGAGCCATTTCCCTTGGGAAGGCTGGGTGGGGAGCCTGAGGCAAGCATATATTGTAAATGTTTCCAGATGCAGTGAGGATTGAACCAGTGTCACTAGTTCTATTTTCCTTTTTCCTTTGGCTACTGGGATGCTCAAGCCCAGTGTTGCTGCCCTCCCTCAAGGACTTTTGAGACTCAAAAAGCATACATTTTGGATGCTAACCTTTCCCTCAACTTAGCTTGTACCTCTGTGAGCTGCCCCGGGGCATTTTCAGTATGATGCTGTTGTAAATACTAAATTCCTTTTTTTAAAAAAAATGGTCTGGAACTCAAGAGTTGGAATCAATGGCTCAGACACCTGGATCTGCCAAATCTGTGGGGCTCCAGGAGCCCCAGGAGCTGAGGTCTCCTAAGCGTGAAGGCTCTGGTGTGGGGTGGAGGAGAAGGGCCTATGCAGGGCAGCTGCCCAGGCTCAGGGGGCACACTGATGCCCAGCTCTGCCCAAGACACCAGTATCTGGCAGGCTCCATGCCTGCTGGAAGGGCTGGGCCTCTGCCTATGCACCTGGGACCCCCAGCGCACCCAGGCCACTCACAGACACAGCAATCTCCCCGAGGATGTCCTCTGGAATTGTCATGTTTTTATCCAGCACCTTCCGGTAGAACTTGTCCAGGGATGTGTCCATGAGCTCCATGCAGATCCACACGTCTCCCTGTGGGTGACACCCAGAGCTCAGCCAGGCTGCCGGGCTGCCTGTGTCGGCACCACCTACACTGCCTGCCCCAGCACCAGCCCCAGCCCCCTCCTCAATGTGTGCCCACCCACTCAGCCACAGTTCACCGGGCTCCCACCCACCCCCCACTTGCCCGCTTCTCCCCACCCTCCACTTGCCCACGTCTCCCCACCCTCCAGCTCTGCCTGCACTGCCAGGTTCGGGTGCCAGCCTCCTCCATCTAATCCCTAATTCCAGGTGTCTCCAGGGAGGAGGGGGATTAGCACAGAGCCTCACTGGGTCCCTCCACCAGAGCCTCAGGATGCACCCGCACCAGCTCCACGGCAACAGCCGGCCCTGTGGACCGACAGACACCTTCATGCCCGCTGACCCTGGCAGATGGCTCCCTGCCTGCAAGGACCAGCTCCCTCTTCCCCAGTGAACTCCTGAGGACCCTCCTGACAGGAAAGTTAGGAGATGCGCAGGGGGCACCCACAGGCTGTAGGGGCCCCATTGGCTAGGAGCTGGCACAGGGGATGCTGAGCTCTTCATGAGTGAAGAGTGAGGCCAGGTGAGGCAGCCCTGACCTTGCCCGATTGCTGGACTCAGATGCCCTGACCTTGCCACAGCTCCTTGAGGGGCAAGCGACCAGTATGAGCCCAGCATCACCCAGGCTCCCAGCCTCCCTGCTCACCCACACCCACCCGGCTTGGCGGAAGGCAGCTCCACCCTTCCAGCTCAGCTACTCCCTCAGCACACACCCCATGCTGCCCACAAACCTAGAACCCAGATCTCATATCTCCATGGCCACTGCCTGCTCAGGCACCCCACGCCCCGTATGCCATGGGGATGCGAATGGTCACACAGGCAGAACTGAGTGCAGCCGAATGCCAGGCCCCAGGCCATGTCATTTAACTTCCGTGTCAACTTTAGGAGGCACCCACAACCACTAGCCTCATTTGACAGATAAGGAAACCGAGGCACCAAGCAGGACAGTAACTGCCAGGAGGTGGGGGAGCCCGGTGGTCTGGCAGGGCTGGTGCCTCTGGGAGCCGTGCTGGCCCCGGGTGGCTCCCCGTGTCCCCAGCACCTGGCACACTGGAGGGACTGAGTGACAGTGGGTTGCAGGCAACTGATGGGTGGGAGGTGGAGCTCCCCAGCTGTACCACGTGAGGACACACCTCTCTGAACAGTGCCCCGTAGAAGGTGACAGTGTAGAAGCAGTCGACCGTGCGCATGTTGATGTCCAGGTCCATGAGCAGCCGCTTCTGCTCCTGTGAGTTCACAGTGGCCCGGATCCGCTGCAGGGAAGGACTGCCGTTCAGAGGTTGCTGTGGCAGAGGCCAACACCCCCACTCATGACAGGAGGGCCAGGAGCTCAGAGGGCCACTGCCTAGTGTGCCCCAAAAAGCCTGGGCTCGGTACTGGTCACTGAGAGGGACAGGCAGGGCCCCATGGCAGGGCTCAGCTCGCCTCCTCCAGGGAGCCCTCCCAGGTGCCTCCAGGCCCTGCTCACCTTCACGGCCATGATGGTGCCGCTCTGGGCGTGCCGCACCTTCTCCACCACCCCATAGGCTCCACGGCCCAGTTCCGAGATGGTCACCAAGTCATCAGCCTCCACCTCAAAGTTCTTGAGGGATGGAAAAGAGAGAGAGTCAGTGGCCACCAAGCTGGAAGCCAGTCCTCACCTCTCACCCAGTGGAGATAGCTAGGCAGCATGAAGAGGACCAGCTGGTTAGATCTGGGCTCAAACCTCATACCCACCACTCCCTGCTGTGTGACCCTCAGCAAGTCACTTAACCTCTCTGAGCCTCACGTTGCCCTCTATAAAATAGGCACAGTGCCAACACCCCAAGGCGGCTCTGGAGTGTGACTAAGACACCCATGAAATGCCCCGCCAGCAGGCAGAGCTCTGAGAAAGAGGGGCCCTGTCCCTCTTTCCCCAACCCCACTCAGCTGATTGGAATGAGTCAGTCATTCAAAAACTGTTTACCAAGCACCCACAATGTGTTTTAGGCACTGGGGACACAGTGACAACAAAACAAGTCTTGCCTTCACAGATGTGTCCCTCTCTTGGGAGGGACACAAAAAGGAACAAGCAAGTAGATGAACAGGACAGCAGGTGGTGAGTGTCGGGGGTGCGACAGCCTGGAGGGGGCATCGTCAAGGACAGGCCTAGGAAGTGGGGTTTCTTTTATTTGTTTTAGACAGAGTGTCACTCTTGTCACCCAGGCTGGAGTACAATGGGGTGATCTCGGCTCATTGCAACCTCCACCTCCTGGGTTCAAGCGATTCTGTCTCAGCCTCCTGAATAGCTGGGATTACAGGCGCCTGCCACCACACTGGGGTAATTTTTGTATTTTAGTAGAGACAGGGTTTCACCATGTTAGCTAGGCTGGTCTTGAACTCCTGACCTCAGGTGATCTGCCCGCCTCGGCCTCCCAAAGTGCTTGGATTACAGGTGTGAGCCACCGTGCCCAGCTCTTTTTTTTTTTTTTTTGAAACGGGGTCTCACTCTGTCACCCAGGCTGAAGGGTAGTGGCATGATCATGGCTCACTGCAACCTCCACCTCCTGGGCTCAAGCGATCCCCCCACCTCAGCCTCTCAAGTAGCCAGGACCACAGGCATGCACCACCACACTGACCAGTTTTTTGTATTTTTGTACAGACAGGGTTTCGCCATGTTGCCCAGGCCTGGTCCCGAGTTCCCGAGCTCAAGTGATCCTCCTCCTGCCTCAGCCTCCCAAAGTGCTGGGATTATAGGTGTCAGTCACTGCACCTGGCCTGGGAGTAGGGTTTCTGTTGGGAGGACCTGGGCATAACACGGTCCCTGAGACAGGATTCTCAATGGCTAGTGCCCTTCCGAGGCTTCTGGAAGCAGAAAATGCAGGTTTCCTAGGTGCTGGCCTGAGGGAATGATCCAGCAGGTCCAGGGAGGCCTAGGAGCCTGCACGTTCAGTACTCTCCGCTAGGGCTAGGATGAGGTGCAGGGCTGTGCTCTCAGCTCAGAAACCTTCCTACCAGCTCTGAGCTCGCCAAGCTCCAGACAGGCAGCCAATGGTCCTCATTCCCTCCAGCAGGGTCAAAGAGTGGGTGGCCCAGGGCCACACAGCCAGCAGCGCAGGACAACACTCTTCTCCACAGCTTGACCCTCTCTGACCCCTCAGTCACCTCCCCACATAGTGACCCTGCAGGGTCAGCTCTACCCACTCGTCAGTTGAAGTGAGAGGCCCTGCAGGGGTGGCGGCTGGCACCTACTCTGTCTCCAATGGTGATGAAGGTCCGGGAGTCCAGGTTCCGGGGGGGTCTGTGGAGAAAGAAGGCTCCATGAGCTTCAGAGAGAACCACACCCTTCCTCCAAGAGCAGCAGCAGATGGGCCAGTGTGGGGCCTGGCGTGGGAACCAGGTATATCCTGCCCCGGAGGCACCTCCTCGGACCACCTCCTCTCATTGGCTGCTGAGCATCTACATGAGCTGGGCACGGCCTCATGGAGCCTCCAAGACGGGGTGAGAAGTGAGCAGAGCAGAGCAGATGGTGCTGCATGAACCCCAGCAGCCGTCACCTAGCTGGACCCACAGCAGGTGCTGCCCAGGACAGGACGAGGCAAAGCAGAGCTGGCCCCACCTGCCTCTCACTCCTTCCACTGAGCCCTGTTCGGGAAGCCTCTCCAGGGTGAGCCAGGGAGAAACTGAGGCAGACTCACGTGGGGTTAGGCGCGGGTGGCTTGGACATGCAGGATATCCGTAGATCCTTCTTCCTCTTGGATTTTCCTAGAATGGAGAGAAGGTGAGGCTTCTGGCCTATCCCTCAGTCATCAATGTCCCCTGCACTCCCCTTGGGCTGGCCAAACATGGAGACAGGGATGACTCAGGCCCTGGCCCACAAGGATGCCAGCCTCTGCGATCACCCTTGCCGGGAGCCCCCTCTCTCCAAGCCAGACCGTGAGGCGTTCAAAGGGAGGAAGGAGGCCCACCAGCCCTGCAGGGGAAAAGAGCAGGACAGACCCAGGCCTAGAGGCTGGAGCCCAGGGCCTTATCTCAGCCCTGCCCACTGGGCACATCTTGAGTACCTCCCTGGGCCTCAGTTTCCCCATCTGTGAGGTGTCCTCACTGCCCTGCCTGACTAGCCAACGGGACGTGGGGTGAGAGGGGCCCAGCAGGGGTCCAGCCAGCACCCGCAGCAGCCACTGTGCAGGGGCCTCGTGGCCGCAGGTAGCAGGATGAGGCTCACACTACCTCCAAGATGAGGAAGGCCAGGCCCCCAGAGAGGGCAACAGGCGGTGGAGCAAGCGGGGACTCCAGCCCAGGCTGCCCTGCAGGCTAGCTCTGCCGGGCCCTGCTCACCCTGGAGGCCAACACCTGATGCCCGTTTCTCTCCCTCCCCTGAAAAGTGCTGGCTCTCTCCCCTCCCCTGCACTGGGCAGGCCACAGTCCTGGGGCAGTACCTTCCTCACTCCACCCCTGGGGGCAGGTGAGAGGTCCCAGTGTCCACACCTCTCAGGCTGGCTGCAGGAGCATGGCCAGGTGCACAGCACTCAGCTGGTACTAACGGAGGGTCAGCATTTCTGGGGCTCCAGGCACAGTGGGGCTGGCATGCAGAGGGAGCTCCCTGTAGTCAGGGCTGCCCTTTGAAGAAGGCACAGCCGCCATTCCACAGGCAGGAGAAGCAAGGATCAGAGACGGCAGGGTCACCGGGCGCTCTGGCACCATCAGGCAGCAGGGCTGGGAGTGACACAGCTCCCCGAGACCACCCAGTACAGACATGCTGGCCACATTCCTGCCCTTGCGGGAGCTTCTGCCCCATTTCCCAAGCATGGTCCTGCCACACCTTGGCCCTCACCCACCACCTCCCACTCACTGCTGCTGGCTCAGCCTGGCTGCTGGCACTGGGGCCTGGAAACTGCCCATGGCCCTGCTGCCACCTGCCAAGAAGACCCCAGTCTCTGAAGCCGCCTCCAAGTCAGGTCCAGATCCAGCCTTGGCCACAGTGCAACGCAGACTTGTGGCCCCATCTGAGAGCCACGCACTGGGGCCCAGTAGCCAACCCGGCCCGGACGGAGGGCAAAGGGTGGTTACTGCCACTAGGAAGACAAGGCCAGATCAACAGGAAACAGAATAGCCTCGGCGGGGACAGGGGTCCCAGGATCCATCCTGGGGCAGGTGGGCAGAGTGCAGGGGCCAGGCAAGCAGATACCTGCAGCCTTTCCACCAAAGCCACCCCGGGGACCCTGCTGCCAGGCCCCAGAGGCTTCAGGAAACAAAGGCATCCACAGACAGAGGCAGCAGCGGCAGCCACATGCACTGGGTGCCTGCCTGCTAACCGCTCACCCGGTGAATCAATTGCCTAGTCACTACTCCTGTGTGAGGCTTTTTAACTCATTTTAAGATGCAGCAACACCCTGGCTGTCCGGGACTGCACGGGTCTCACGGCGAGTCTGTCAGAGCCACAGCACTGGCCACAGGCAGGGCCCTTCTCATCTGTGACTCCAGATGCTCCCACAGCCCCACAGGGAGGGGCTCTCAACCTCACTTTACCTGGCGAACAGGCTCAGAGAGGTGAAGCCACTTGCCCCAGGCTGTGCAGCAAGTCAGGGTTCTGGCTACAGTCCCTCCTGAGTTTGTTGACTTGGAGACCCCCACAGGCCAGGCCACGGCTCACAGCACCCCTGCCCCAGGGAGCCCTCCCTGAGGCTGAAGGACAGGTCCAAGTCTCATGCTCAACAAGAAACGGCAACAGAGTCTGGAGACGCAGAGGCTCAGCACACTCTCACAGGAGAAACCATGGCACACAGGGCCAGCAGCTCCCGAGACCACTTCTATCCTGCCTCTGGGCCAAAGGCTCTGAACTTCAGGGGGCTCTGGGCTTGGCATAGGGCAGCCATAGTAAACCCCAGCTCTGCGATCCTGGCGTGGTGCCCTCCTCTGCACCTTGGGTTCCTCATGTACAAAACAGCTCGAGGCAGAAATGCCACCCACCTGCCCCACACGGTGCTGCAGGACGAAGCAAAACCACGTCTGCAAGGTGCTCAGCACAGGGTTCACTGCGCAGATGGGGACCTGTTGTGGCCCATAAATGGTCACCATGGATATGACCAGCCTCTCTGCAGAGGTGAAAAAAAAAAAAAAAAAAAACTGCCCTAGGTAATGAGAATTACAGATAGCTTTTATTCCTGATGTCAGGTTTTTTGTGATCAGAATATAAAATATTTTCTGTTAAAAATGAAAGCTCTGCACAGAGACCCTGGGCCTTGACCTTGCCCCAGCCCCTTGCAGTCCCATCCTTTTCCTGTGGGGTCCACGCCACACCCTCCCTGCACTTTCTCTGCTCTTGGTCCCTCTGGCCCAGCCTGCCACCCACCTCACGCCCTGGGATTTGGGGATGTTGTATCATGTGCCCCCCTTTCACCAAGCCTCAGTTTCCCCACCTGTCAAGGGCACTTGCACATATGGGCTGGATGGGTGGGGACCACGCTCCTCACAGGCCTGGGGGGTATATGGCCTCGCCTCTGCATCCACCTGCCTGTTGGGGACACCGGACTTGCATCAGGAGGGCCGCAGGCTCCACAGGGAAGCCACCCAGCTGTCAGACGGAGTGGGTGAGGCCGTCATGGAGACAGCCCAGAAACAGGCCTCAGGCTGCCACAGACGTCAGAGCTAGGCCCAGATGGCCAGGCAGCCCAGGGCTGCCCAGGTGCAGCCATTGTGGCGACCGTCACCACAACAAACAGAGGCTCTCGGCGGCCACTGGCAACCCATGACAAGCCCGCCTGTCCCGGTTCCCAGCACGGGGTGTCCTGGGGTGTCCTCCACATACTCTAGCCTCAAAGCAGCCCCCAGGCAGGGATGAGGAAACGGAAACTGACCAGAATTCAGCCACTGACCTGAGGCTACACCACAGGTAAAGAGAGGTGCCCCCAGACTAGGACACAACTCTCACTGGCCGCGGCAGCTCTGCCCTATCTCCTCCCACTCACCCCCCACTAGAGACCCGACCCTTGAGTGAGCCCTTCTCTGAATGAGACACCTGCTTTCCCATCGCAGGGCCTTCGCGCATGCCCTTCCCTCTGCCTGAAATGCTCTTCCCTGCGACCGTCCCAGCTGCCACATGGTCTTGCCTTTCACCAGTTCGGAGAGGCTGCCTGACCGCTCAGGCCCCAGTGACCGGCTCTCCCTGTGGCCTGCTGGTTTCTCTGCTGTGGAGTCCCGTAGGTGGCCGTTCTGTGTTACCATCTCAGCCAGCCAGTCTGCAGATCACCTGCGAACAAACGCTCTGGAGCCAAGGCCTGGGCTCAACTGCAACCCTGCCCCTTCCCTGCTGTGTGCCCTCAGGCAAGTGGCTTCACCTCTCTGGATATATGTGAAGCGGAGACTACAGACCAACCTCCCGGGGTTATCAGCGCCATGCCGTAGCAATGCCTGGTGCGTGGAGATTAGATGGGGCCATCTGGGAGTGCACAGCTCCAGAGATAACACCACCCTCAGCCCCAGACCATCCCTGTCCACCTTCTCAGTGACTCCACGAGGGAGCAGGGGAGGTTCACGTATCTGTTGTACCAAGCATGCGGGAGAAGAGGCGACTCAGAGAGGCCACACGGTGGGCATCTGGTGAGGAGTGGCCGTAAAGGCAGGTCTGCCCGGCTCCAACATCCAAACAGCAACAGCCTGAGGGCAGGGACCCCACTTCGGCTGCTCCTTCCATCCTGGGCCTGGGGAGACTGAGCTGTGTGGCCCTCTAACGGTCACCCACAGGGGCAAGGTGACAACCCCTCCTCACAGCCTCTGCTCTGCCTCCACTCATAAAGACAGCCCCCACGCCGTGCCACACCACGCCACACCACGCCACGCCACGCCACGCCACACCACGCCACACCACGCCACGCCACGCCACACCACGCCACGCCGCGCCGCACCACGCCACGCCACGCCACACCACGCCGCGCCACACCGCGCCACGTGAAGGAGCATCACCAGGTTTCCGACGACAGAAGTAACCCCTGCTCCTAGTTCACTGCCCTCGCCTGACTTCTGGATGTTCCAGGAGGTCCCTGTTCCACTGTAGAAGTGCTGGGCCCGCCAGAGAAGGAGCCACAGGGGCTGGGAGATGTGAACAGCAAGAGGCGCCGCCCTGCCCCAGGCCACCTCTATTCCGCAGGGTCCCTCAGAGGGACAGCAACGAAGCCAGCCCACTCCACGGCACGGGGAAACTGAGGCCCTGAGAAGTGGGCGCAGGCTTTTGCGTGGGCAGATGTACCTCGACAGTGAATGCGTTTGGCTGCGATCTGCCAGACGCTGGCCCCTGTCCCCAGGACAGGTGCCATCAGAGGTCCTGAGGCGCTGCATGCGCCACTGCCAAGCACCTGCAGGCAGTAGGGGGTGGCCATGCACCTTCAGGCAGGGCCCCTTGCCCTGAGGTCCTGGGGCCCCTGTCTCAGGCTCTGGAGAGGATGCAGGACAAGGAGAAGGTCCTCCCATCTACCCAAGCGCCTGCTCCATGCCAGGCCCAGGCTGTCCCATCTGGCCTCACATATGGCCACTGCAGGCCCTACCTTCTCTATCCTCACCTCGTAGGAGTGCAGCAGGCTAGGGTGAGGAGGAGTGACCAAGGCTCTGCCTTCCAAAGCCCTGCCCTGCCTCTGCCCGGCTGTGCGAGGCCACCTGGTCAGGGCCTGGCCTCTAGGGCCTCACACCCTCCCCACCTCTCCACCCTACAGGGACTTCTTCACCTGCAGAGCACTGGAGACCCCCAGCCTACCTACCTGGCAGTGCCCCCT